GCCGAGAATATACGCGACGCGTCTCCGTTTAAACAATAGATTCGGTAGATTACGCTAATTCGAAATCGGCTGATCGCGAATTTATACGATACATTGTCGTTATTACGATAGCTTATTTGCGAAATGTTATCCAGATAATCCATACGATCTATCTATATCATCATTTCCGTAAATAATTCCACTCATATTATGTAGACCCAATTGTAAAACGAAGAAAGAGGAAAGGAAAGACTAAAATCTGCGATGAAACGTTGGCTCGAGCGACTAAACATAACCAAACAACTAATAGCCAATAGAATCATCGTCATTTACGAAAAAGCCCACGGAATACGTCACTATGCTCCCCGTTACAGAGAAAATGTATAATCGCGGATGCTCGATAATACTATTTGTCAATGGACTGCCCAATGTTCCCAATGTTTTGCCAATCCTTATGAAACTCTGGCCTTTTCTCGAAAGCCTCGGGCTCCTTGCGTAATCCTACGAATCTCTTGGCAATATCAACTCGTTTCGCCAATTGTATGTGTATGGCATCGTCGACGACACGGTTTGGATAAGCGTTTCCTAATCGTCGTATCTGGTTACCCGTAGAGGATAGCCGATAACATACAGTCGAATGCGTTACATCCATATAAACCGAGAGCACATCCCGCAAAACGTCTGTGCAGTCTTCAATCTAAGAGGAGGTAATCTGGTTGTTATCTGCACACGTGGACACTAAGCTCGGTTGCATTCTCGCATGCCTCACGTTGTACTCCTGGTAATACTGCCGAGTGCTCTATTTAGCACTTATCGCTCTAATATGTACGTAGATGCCAAATGTCGTTATCGCATACATAGAGCATACAGCACATTTATACAAGAGTACATCTAAAATTCGTGTTGAGTAAGAAATTTTTGTATTCTACTCTGTGGTCGGTTCTGGTGTTTCTCAACTCCCTTTCTCTCGTTCATCCCAAAACTTCAATCTCCTGTTGACGTCGATTTTTATCGTCGATTTGCAGGAGAACAAAAACATAAAAAAAAAAAAATAAAAAAAAAAAAAATAAACGACAAAGTAAAGAAGAAGAAGAAATAAAAAAGATAAGACAAGAAAAAGAAAAAATAATTGGCCGGTAGGTGTTGACGTAAGTGTGTAACGAGAGTTTTTATTTTACCACCAAATTATTTATATATTTTTAACTAGTAGTATCATTAATGATGTATGAAGTGGAAAATTGTTTTTTTGTTAATTAAATTGTTTACGTTGAGCTGACTGATGAGCTAGTGTTTTATGTTTATTTAAATATGTTTATTTAAATTAAAAATTTACTTAAACCCCGTCGAAGACACGTATCCCATCGTGTCAAAAACCAAAAACTTTTGCTTTTGAAAGTCAGGAACAACGAACGGCCTTAATAAGCGAAATTTTCATAGGGACGGTAAATTTTTATAACAATTTGCCGAAAGAAAGCAGCACTACGATAATTTAATACATCAACGTTCCAAATTGGCGAAAAACGCGAGTTTTCGGCGAAACCCTCGACTATTAACGATCAATGTTAACGAGTCAATTTGCTCATGCTCTAACGTCGCGTTTGAAAGAACATTTCTTTCTCATTATCACTTAACGAGGTTATGTTGAGGCTTATGTTGAAATTTCGGACTTTAAATAAAGAAGGAGGCGAGGTTCAGCGCAACGTTAGCGTTCTACGTTTCACGGGTTTTTCGATCGTAAAACGTGCACACACGACAATTACCGGGACGAAAGCACACGCGGTCACGATTGTCACGGAGACGATGGTATTTCGTGTCGGGCTGCCCGTCGCGCAAACTCGTCAATAACTATCCAGCCTCGTCTATCCGTTAAATTATATGTCGAAGAAGCTGAGGGTCGCGGTCCTCCGGCTCCGCGGATGCTACACGGCTCCTCCTCGACCGATCCTCCCCTCGGTATTCGAGGAAAATTCGCGCTCACTAAGCTACGGCGGTTGCTCCAGCTCGCTCGCTCTTGCTTGAAATTAAAAATTGGCGCGAATAGCCGCGGCTTAACGAGCTCCTCTCCTTTTTCCCTCGAATTATCGTACAGCCGCGAGTTTCCGTCTAGGAAGACGTTTCTCGGAAATCCAAAGCCATACTTCCCCCGGTTATAGTTCCAGCTAGGAGTGAAAATTCAATTGGCTCTGTCCTATGGAATGCTAAAACTTTCCACAATAGTCGGCACAAGGCTCGTAACGGTCAAATACAAGCTTCAATTTACAATTGATTGGACTAGCCGTTCAATTGCATTCTATTCATGTAACCACCAGCGAATTATCTCGCACTAAAAAATTGGAGACTGTCTGAACTTTGGATCTGGTATTGTCGGGCATTACGACACGAGCGTCCCCGTTTTCAAACGACGCACGTGCCAATTGCTGATTGGCGTATAAAAAAAAATATATATATATATATATATACGGCCGGGCCTTAAAGTACGAATAGTCGATTCGATAGCGCGGCATCGAGGAAAGTTGACGGTAGTGGCGATTGAAAAGCGAAGGTGGAGGCGGAGTATTTCCTGCTGCTCGGGCAGAAACTCAAGAATGAGGACCTCGTGGTGGCCATGCGGAAAAAGGAACGCGAGCCGCATGCGAGCGAGGCAATTAGCGGCGCTTCACCTCCCCTCTTGACCCCAGCCGGGCCCACGGGCTACGTACCACGAACCATCCTCTGCACAATGCGGCCCCGAGTAACGGACGTCGGCTTCGACTCGTCCTTTCCCAGACGCCTACGCGCATCTCCGTAGCTGTAGCGCGATTATGCGCAGCCAAGCTAACGGCCGAGCCGTTTGTCCTTTACTTTTTTACCTACGCCAAGTAGGCATGTTTCGATCGAGGATACGGGGGAGGGGGAGGAGAAAGCTAGCTCATCGGGTGGTAAGAAGGGATTAGAGGTCGGTGGTTAGATCGTTACCGTTGACTGAAAGAACAATTCTTATGAGATTTTTCATTATTAATGGCAGTTCCGAGGGTTGAGTAGTCGAGTAGGTTGGAGCGTTGAAAGAAAGAACTCGAAATCTTACTCTGTCTTATATTAACTTAACACCCTATGAATTTCGTCTCACGTATTGTCTCATATTTATTAAACTTTACAATCCCAAACTCAAATCATTATGACGATTGGCTCGAATGGCAAACTTTCGATGCATTTACGAATGCAATTCGCTTTCGTCGATAGATTCGATGGGAATTACGAGCACAAAGTGCTGTCCTTATTGCATAAGTTTTGAGCATATTTTGGGATTCAAAGAGATTCTGGTTTATAATTTATGTCTAGTGCTCGTGTTATACTTGTGTATATTTCGAGCATATTGCTTAAGATATGCGAGATTTTATTTAACTCCATCTTACTTCATCACCTTTCATATTCTGATAATTTTATTACGAAATCATGGTTTATATGAGCGTGTATGTAACATCTTTTCAAGTTCTCACGCTATATGTATATATATATATATATATATATATATATTTCTGCAAAGAATTGAAAAAAGAAACAAATTTCATTGTTTTTTATAAGACCATTCAGACAATAATGAACTTTAGGCAAAAAAAAAAAAATTTTTTTTTTTATTTTTTTTTGTATTTTTTATTTTTTTTATATAATTTCTTACATTAAATGCCATAATCGTATACATGAAATTGCTTTTCTTAGAGTACTGCCATATTGTTAATATTAAACAAAAAAAAAACTAAAATCTAGGATGTACTTTCAATTTGTATAAGCTGATAAATATATACAATTCTGAATCTTTGGATAAATTTTGAAATATCTATTTGAAACAGATATCAAGAATTTCATTTATGAAAAAAAATATGTTTTCACGTATAATCAACCTAATACATACGAATATTTGCCTTAAAATAGATAAGAAAAAGGTTTATCTTGAAAATAAAGTAAGCTAAATAAAATGTGAAATTAATCTACAATTTACACAATGAAATGTGAAACGAAATTAATATTTACACAATGAGAGAGACGAAGGTTTATACTATTATTTACTAGTTAAAGTATAGTAATAGTTGTGTGTACGTGTATGTGTGCGTGCGTGTGTGTGTGTGTGTGTGTATATATCTAAATATACAGATAGATAGATAGAAAAATTGATATGTATATAAAGGCTAGGAGGTAATAGGTTATATATTTAAAATCATGCTAATGAGAAATCCGAGTAGACCTTCTAATGACCCATCACTAAACTGACATTCAACAAGCCACGGGTTAACGTACAGTCGGTCGACGGTTTGCACAAAGGTCGGTTTTCCAGAGCTGCCCGTCGAAACTTGCTCAAATTAATCCGGTACACTTACATTGTTACCGAATAATTACCGGAGTTTACGTACGTTACTTTTAGCTAATCGTATTATCTTTCCGAGCCAAGCTGAGCTACATGCTTACACATGTGCTTCATTTCTGCGGTGAAACGATATTTCCTGCAGACTACATACTTTTGTAGTCCACCCGTTACTACACGTATGTTTTGTCCGCACATAACAATTGCAACACCGTTCTCATAACTGACTTTTATACTTTAATTCCAATAACCCCAATAAATGCACATACGTTGACCAACTAATATTAAAGCGCATTATAAAACATCTGTTTATGCTCTACGGATAAACACTCGTATACCAAAGTCGTGGTAATTTCGAGTAAAACTGACGATGGTTTTTGACAATTTTGTGACTGTGCATCTTAGGAGCTCGGATCGGTAAAATAAAGTTATTAATAATGAATTTTACGATGACATTTTGGGGAGAAATTCGTGAAAATAATGTGGACGTGACAAAAACCCAAAAGTGGATGACAACCCCGACCTCCCCTCGGGCCCTCGCCATATGAACCTGCGTATTACCTCCTTCGTCGCTTATTTATCAGTAACATCGACACCTGCGCGCATCAAAGGCTATCCCCCCCCCGCCCCCAGCTTATCGATCGATCTTACGTCCCTTGCCTCACTCCTTTCCCCGTGTCTCGACCGACACGAAGTCGTCCATTTCGACCTCGTTGCAGCCCATCGGTGGCACGCGATTCATACGAACTCTCAGGCCCAATATCGATCGGTCCATGACGCAAGTGTAGCCCCGGCTTATCTTATCAGCTAGGCTCGTGCCACGCATCTAGATTAGACTTATCGGAATTACAAGAGCGCGGAAGTGTGTCGCGAGTGTCGTTAGTGAGACGTTACGCGCAGCTTCGCCCACACCGACACCACCTTCCATGTCGCATTGTTGTTTTCTTTCCTCTATTTGGCCCTTTTTTTCTCGCTCACTAAAGTTAACGATACTATCAGGCCGCAATCTTGTATTCGAACGCCTATCGCGATGGATATCCAAGAATAGCGAGGACCTTTATTCTATTCATAAGGGTTAAGCAAATGAAGGCGTTATGCGCGCGCGTGGCTCATCCCACCAGGAAAATTCCGGCTTCTAGCGTTTTATGATTATTTACTGAGAAGGTGAGTCACGAGTGTCGGGAAACGAAGGCGAATGGCTGATGTCCAGATATAATAAACCAAGTGCGAGATGGAAAAAAAGACACTTGTGGTCGATAGCGGCTGGTATTAAAGATTTTGGTGAGGGCGTCACGTACGATGATGAAAGACAGGAGAAAATTAATTACCAGCTCTATCGAGGCCCTAATGAAGTACGTGGGAACTCGAACCTTAGTGGACGAATTATTTTTTAATTTGCACGACGTACTTCGGTTGACAAGATTTAACCAAAGACTTTCACAGGTTTTAACAATTGCCTTGGTTAATTATATTCGTGAGCGTTGAAATTGGCAATGATAAATCTCGGTACTTCGTGACGGAGTGTCGAAGCGAAAAATTTTACCACTGCATCCGCGCTTATGATCGCGTCAAAAAGGAAAAAGCACTTGATTAAATAAGCGCTCGGGTGATCGTGCTTACGTACCACCGTGGTTATCTGAAAAGTCAAGTTTGAATGAATCAGCTTAATTTACCATAGCGCAAGTAACGGCGTCGTTTCAGGAATGAAAAAACAAAAAAAAAAAAAATGATTCACACTGGCGCGCGACATATAATCGTCACATCGTCTTTTGCGATACGCACCGAGAGAGAGAGAGAGAGAGAGAGAGAGAGAGAGAGAGAGAGAGAAACAAGACGCCACGCGCATGGTAAAAATGTACGCGTATGTGCGTAGGAGCGTAGGAGTGCATATGCCTATGTAGTGGTATTAGCGGTTGGTAAATGGGTACCAGAGCTACGAGAGGTCCCTAATGCCGTAGTTCTTGATGTGGACGGAAAGAGTCTGGGGGTGGACTTCTGCGAAATCAGAATTGGCTGGGAAGAGTTAGAGGGGCATTATTGACGGGGGACTTTGTCAACGAATGACTCGTCGAATGGAGTTTTATGAATATGATGAGGAAGAATAAGAGTAAATAAAATGATGGAAAGGAGTGACAGCTGGGGAGCAAGAGAGGAAGGAGAAATCACTGTTTGAACTTATTGCGAGTGTGGATAGTTTGATAAATCGAAGCTTCGTTCGGTTCATCACTTATTCAAATTACTTGTAACGCGTTACGTAAAATTTATTATAATAATCAAATAAAACGGCCCAATTTTATCGGCATATCAAAATTAAAGATTGAGCAACATTGAGATTGAATTACACCTGCGAACTTTACAAACTCACTCGCCTCGTCGTCCGAGATAATTCGCACGACAGACTTTTCGCAAAACGCTCCCCCCCCCCAAAATTTAATTAGCAATAATAATTTAAATATTTGAAAATAAGCGACTTAAACATTTTTCAACAAATCTTTTAATTACCTAAGAATATGTTCTTCATATTCCGTTACCTGTACATTAATATTACGTACATAGTAGATTTACATATTTTAGTACCGAAATAAGTTTAGAATGGAAATGGAAATTTGCGCTACAAATATAAACTCACAGATCTCATCGGAAGGTATTCATTCGTCTTACGTAATACTTCGTCGCCTGTTATTATTGAATGGAAAAACGGTTTTCTTAAAAGATCCACAGATTGCCGTGGCTAGTGAAGAAAGCACTTGATGACAGCGTCATCAATTTTGTTATGAGAATGTCGACAATTCCAAACAACGAATAAATAAATATCAATCAGGATGTATCGCTCGATCTCTCGCACCTACGGCTCCTAGTTTACGGTCGCTGTTGGAAACGCCAGGATACGTTAAAGGCGCCTGGAAGATATTGAGATGCGAGGATCAGGAGGCGCTCGATTTATCGCGATCGACGATCGGTCGCTCTGGAATTCCCATGTGTTCGATAATCCAAGCACATTGCGAGATCGCCGACGATCGATTTGTAAAATCGACCACGTGAATCACGAGGCCTATCAGCGACGTCGCCGCCGATGATGATTATGATGATTCGCTTCGATCGATTCGCAAGGAGCGTTTAATCCGCGCTCCTCTCGGGCCAACTCGTTCCCCAGATCCCAGTTCCGAGCCCGGGACACGACTTTTGATCTTGGCTTTTTGACAGGCCCTAGTCTCCCTTTTAACCTCAACCCTCTTACGACAAGTGGATTTTCCCAAGTGGCGCCCGTGACACGCGCGCGTTTTTTTCCGTTGTCAGCGCCCGTTTTCTCGAGCCCGCAAGAGAAATATTTGTCTTCTTTGATCCGGCGCCAACAACCCTCACTCAACGTCAACATGCCCGTCATCTGTCAAATAGAAAATTTTCATTGTCCCCCGTTCGCGTTCCCCGTCCGACGATTCGAATGAAATTTAGCGACGACACCTCGACCATGGCTTTGTAAAATATTCCCTTATTATTATTCCAGTAGCGTGCAAATTCATTTATAACCTTCACATTATAATGCTCATAGAGAATGCGAATGCTCTCCTTAACAATACGGAGAAACTTTTTTATCTTAACAAAGATAATCCCGATAATGCCACGTACCTTACATTAGCATTATACATTACAACTATTAGAGATTTGTCATTTGGCACGCCCACGTCTGGCACATTACGACCTCATTCGGTAATTTTCCTTCATTGAGAAGCTTGGATTTGATTAAACAGCATTAGATTTCACTAATATCCAAGCGGGACGTGGATTTTGGACGAAGCTACGCCGTAAAATAATCGGAGATTAACGGAGATGCACCGTGCGAGCGCTTAAAGCCTAACCAACTCTCTCTGTAAAGTCGGGAATTTTTTATTGAACCAGGCGATTAGGCGTCCTAGTTTGTTTTTCTCCCCCTGTTGTGTATAACGAGATAACGAGGTCTAGCTTACGGGAAGCCCATGGTGGAAACGGTGTCAATAATATTTAACAATGCATTACGCCTCTTTCTTACTCCAAAGCTAGAGACACGCAGCCAAGCGGCACGCCACTTTGTCTCGTTACGTTAATGTAGCAAAGACGGGGGTGGGGTGAGAGGGATACGGGAGAGACGCTCGCTACGTTGGAAATTACAATGTAATGTATCTCGCGACCAAGATTTTTTTCCTCAAACGTCGAAGTAGTCGCGAGTCTCTCGTGATTTAGGAGAATATTCGTTAGGGCAAGTTGGCGAGGATGTAAGTAGGCGGAGATACGCGGAGAGTTGGTGAGAGAGCGAGGAGTCTGTAAGGCTCGCGGTGTTCTCGCTCGCTCTCGATGGCAATAAAGGCATCGGTCGTAAAGCTGATCAACTTGGAGCTCTACGTTACTTAGCACGACTCGGCCGTGGAATTCCTTTGTCATCGGATGGGTGAGTCTCGCGTTTGCAGACACCCCCCCCCCTCCATCCCTCCCTCCCTCCCCCCAATCCCCTCCTCATACATACAAACCATACCCCCGGCTCCTTGAATTACAGCGAGGGAGATGTGAAGCGCAGGCAACCCTTGCCGGTGGGAGTCACGGCCGAGGTCGAAAGTGCGGGAAAAATAGATCTGGAGCTGGAGCACGTGGGCATCGTATGAAAAGGCCTGGGTACGTGCCCTCGAGAGCCTCGGAGCAGGTAGTTCCGGGGCCCGGATTGCCTCCCCCTTTTCTACCTGAGCCCGGTGGCGCTTCCCGTTGCCGCCTTTCTTCACGGCCCCGGACAATGAAGGCCGGCTCAGGCGTTAAACCGAGCCCGAGTCAACGTCACCGCATATAGGAGGAAAGTCGTCGTCGTCATAGGCCCCACCGACTTTTTTCCTCTATTCAGTGACTCCATCGACTTTTCGTTCGCTGTTCCTCGCATCGAGCAGCTCGGTTTCTTTTCTACTCTCTCATTCTCTCTCTTCTTTTCATACATTGTGCTCCCTTCTCCCTACCCCTTACCCCCTAGTCAACCAACCCGCCATCGCCCATCCCCCCCCCCAATCCCCCCATCCCCCCTCTCGACTCCTCACCCCTGCGTTCCCCGATGATACCGCGTCACTGCGCGTTGGTGGGCCTTTTTACGGAATATTTACAGCCTCTATATCTTGGGAATCGTGCCGACTAAATTTTTCTCTCCGTGTTTTTACAGGTTTACGTAGCACCTTCGACGCGTCGACCAACGTATCGTCTTTTTGACTGTTCTTTCCCCTCCCGCCGCCTCGACCCAGGCCCGCCGATCGCTGTCCCATCCCGACTCGTTCCCGGACCCCTCTTTCCCGCATCATTCGATACTTTACGCTCGACCGCGTATCCTCGACGATGCGAGGCAGCGGCTCGACAAAGCACGATTCCTCGACTCAACGAAACGACGACTGTCCGTCCCGATCACTACTGGCTTCGGGCCGAAGTTCTACCTCGGACCGACGACTCGCGCATTCCAATGGAAATAGACATCCCGCGTGACGATTATGAGATGGGTCGAGTGCTCGGGAGGCTAGAGGGGAGGCAATTTCGGATGCCGAACGATAGGATATCAGGGGTCGTAATCGGAGTCGGATGATTGACGTAGCTCGCCGTGGGCCTTTCTCTTTTCCTCAAGGCGATATTGGCTTTTCCATGTGCCGACGTGAACAAAGAGTGCTTGGCGAGCGTTCGCCGCGCATCGCGTAGCGCACCCGGGCCGCCGGTCGATACCCGTGGAACGGTCCCGTGGCTTGCCATTGACCTCGCGCGCGCGGGTCTCGACCTCTTGCCGTTCACCAGCTTCAGTCCCTTCCACGAGAACGAGAGTATTTTCTCTCAATT